ATTGTGGACGGCTGGTGACTACAGAACGATACAATGATCTTTGTAGGGTTGCCTACAGCGGACCTTCAACATTAACGGTGCTATGGACTAACACTGTTTACAGCCCCTAACGACGAGTCCTGCGGTGGCTCTGAACAACGTTTTGTTATGACTCTTCGCCAATATTTGACGAATTCTAACGGCATACTCAGAATACGCTAAGAGTTCCCCAGTAGAGAGAGAGGGAGGGAGAAAATGTTGGCGCTGACGGCTGTACAAAGTCCCCTGGATGGTCAATGGCTTCTTCAAGCTCATCACCCCCTTCATTGACCCCATGACCCGCGACAAGCTCAAGTTCAACGAGGACATGCGCCAGTATGTGCCCGAGGAGCAGTTGTGGACCGAGTTCAGCAACGGCAAGCTCGAGTTCGAGTACGACCACAGCGTCTACTGGCCCGCCCTAAACCGCATGTGCAAAGAGAGGCGCGAGGCCCGCACGGCGCGCTGGGTCGCCGGTGGGAAGCAGATTGGCGAGCTCGAGGACTACCTCGCTGGTGCCGTCCCCAAGGGCGTCGGCGCCCCTGATGCCGCTGCCGCTGCCGCTACTGCCGCTGCTGCCGCTACTGCCACTGCCGCTGCTGCCGCTACTGCCGAGGCAACGCCCGCTGCGGAATGATATCTTTATGACTGGGCTATAGAGGATGATGTATCACGCGGCTCCCGTGAACATTCAAAAGCAATTTTAGACAGGGCTTCAATCGCTCATATTAATTCGGAAGATAGAGGAGGGCCACCACAGGGTCAAGCGGCATTGGGTTAAAACAGGTTTTTCGTTCTGCATGTTGCCTACTTTGACTATTTCCCCGGCAACATTACTACATCCTAAGCAGTTATAGCAAAACAAGATGCTTCTGAGTAATGTGCTCCTGATTCATGCTGAGTGTGAGAGGGCCGACAATTGGGAGGGGGCAAAAGCCATGATACAAAGACAGCGTTGCGAGCTCTTATCGTTATCGCCGATAAGGCTGACCCATTGGCGCCCAGAAACCCCCCCCCCCAGTTTCGCACCCCGACCGCGAGAGAAACCACAAGACGATAGCGAGACGACAGCAACACCACCGTCGCTACCACCACCACCACTGCCGCCGCCACCGCCACGACGACGCATCATGGCGAACCTCCCGACGACCAAGACCATCCCCGGCAAGGAGACGCCCGGGCTGCGCTACCCCTCCAACGGCAAGACAATCTACCACCGGCCCCTGAACCGCACCAAGACGGCCGAGCTCAGCCAGTCCAGCTTCGCCTACCTCTTCAGCGAGATGGTCTCGTACGCCCAGCGCAACGTCAAGGACATTACCGAGCTGGAGCAGCGGTGCGTGTTCCTCTCTCTCTCTCTCTCTCTGTCTCTCCCTATCCCGCTACGTATCCTCCGCATTGCTCCCGCGAACCGTTCAGCTAACAATCACCCTGCACAGGCTCAACGTCCAGGGCCACTCGATAGGCATCAAGCTCCTCGACCTCCTCCTCTTCCGCGAGCCCCCCCGGACCCAGGTCCGGCCCCTCACCATCATCGCCCTCCTCCACTTCATCAAGCAGTCGTGCTGGCAGCACCTCTTCGGCCGCCAGGCCGACCGCCTCGAGAAGTCGGCCGACCCCGCCAAGCCCGACGAGTACATGATCATCGACAACGAGCCCCTCGTCAACGCCTACATCAGCGTGCCCCGCGAGATGTCCCAGCTCAACTGCGCCGCCTACGTCGCCGGCATCGTCGAGGGCCTCTGCGACGGCGCCGGCTTCCCCGCCCGCGTGAGCGCCCACAACATCGCCGCCAAGGACGAGCACGAGATGTGGCCCGGCAAGACCGTCTTCCTTGTCAAGTTCCGCCCCGAGGTCCTCGAGAGGGAGGGCTTTCTCGGGAAGAGCTGAACGGGTGATGGGGGGGTGCATCGGCGAGGATGAGAGGGCGGTTTGCGTGATTAATGGCGTTCAGGAGGGAAGGGGAGCATCGGCGGCGTTTGGGGCGATGGCAAGATTCCGGGACTATTGTGGTACCCCTTTTTTGGTTGTTACTCGAGAGTCGTTCGAGTGAACATTTACAGGATTCAAAGGCGGCTAGAGAAAAAAAGCCGGACAAAAAAACAAGAGAGGCGTTGTCCTCGATAGTGATATGTGTCCATGGTGTAGTTCACGCGTGTTCCTCGCCAGTGGGCTTCCCAGCTCTGCAGATTGACAGACCTGCCTGCCCCCCTCCCCCCGGCTTATGGCAAGTCGCCCGTCCTAGCCCATCAGACCCATCTCGACGCCACCGCGTTGTCTTGTCGCACAAATATGAAAATTTCCCGGGTATCCACCATAACGCCAATAACCGTTCTCTGACCGGCGCACCGCCCGGGAGGCCTCTTACCGCGGCAGCCTCTTCACACCGGCGGCGCCGGCACCGCCTGCTGCTCCCTTGTCCTGCGCCCACCCGCCCGGCGGCGGGGGGTCCGCGGTTCATGAGGCCCGCCAGCCCGAGGTCCTTCCACGCCGCCTCGCGCTGCCTCTGCGTCGCCTTGGTGATGCCAAAGGCCGCGTGCTGGTCCGGCACAACGTCGTCCTCGTCCTCGGGGTTGATTGGCTGGTGCTGCGGCGGCACGTACACCTCGTCGTCGGGCAGTTTCTCCTTGCAAAAGTCCTCAAACAGGTCGGCGTCGCGGGCGCGGTGCATGTGCACGTACGTGTGGCTCGCGTCTTTGTTCTATGGGGAGGGAGCAGTGATGTTAGCCATCAGACGACTTCGGATCAACAGGAGAACAAAGTACCAATCCCATTGTTGCGTGTTCAAGGCGCCTTGCTAAGTGTCCTTTTTTCTATAGCGAAGTTGTCGTGGCAAGTGGCGGTGCCGCAACCTCGACATTCATAGAAATTGAAGTTGAATCGTGGTGTTGATGTTGATATTGACTAAAGACCTCGAGGCCCAGCTCGACATTGAATCCCCCACTACTCGGCAGTGTCCTAGCAGGGGTCACCTTGCGTAGCGTACATCTTCACCGAGGTGTGGACGCGCACGTCCATCTACCCTCACCTCCAACTACACCTGCCCTTCTACTTTTACTTGACCGGGGCTATCACATCTCACATCTCGAAATCTGCGACCGTATGAATTTAGTCCTTGAATTGAGTGCCTATTGGTCATCTTTTGTGGCAGACACGCATTCACCTAATGTCACCATGTCACCATAATCCCAAGTCACACCGATGGCTTTCTTCATCAAGCTGCTGCGCTTGAAATGAATGTCACTAGCCAGAAAATGACAACTCTGAAACTAGACAAGCAACGTTGTGTGCCCTTCAATGGTCCGGAATTCACGCAAAACGGCTACATGGAGGATCACAAGTGAATTAATTCTATTGTTATACCGTATTATGGGTAATCAGGTAGTCGGATCCCCTCACTGGCCTGTAGCCTTGCGTGGAAATGACCTCCAGCGCGTGTCTTCTCAGAAGCAAGAGCTAGAACCGTCGTCGCCAGGTTGTCTCATCATCAGACCCCGCATCATCGTCACCATCGTCACCAGAGTCCTCATCACCATCCTCGTCTGTAGGATCCTCGTCGTTGGTGTTGTCATCTGGATTCTCGTCATCTGGATTCTCGTCACCAGAGCCCTCGTCAGCATCTCCATCGTTGTCATCAGACTCGTTGTCATCAGACTCGTTGTTGTCGTCAGGGTCACCAGAGCCCTCGTCAGCATCTCCATCGTTGTCATCAGACTCGTTGTCATCAGACTCGTTGTTGTCGTCAGGGTCGTCAGACTCGCCGTCATCAGACTCGCCGTCGTCAGACTCGCCGTCGTCAGACTCGCCGTCGTCAGAGTCCGCGTCGTCAGGTTCTCCGTCGTCATCAGAGTCCCCATTGTCAAAGTCCTCTTCGGGGATCTCGTCATCCGGGTCCTCGTCAAACTGTCGTGATTGATGTCGCTGAAGATTCTAGCGACTGCCGTCGTAGGAGCCCCCGACAACAATGCTGAGAGTCGCTTCGTCATTGGTCCAAATGCCATTTTTGCCATTGACGATGCACGTTGTTTGCATCGGGTTCATCATTCGGGCAGCAAGCAGCGAGGCGTCAATCTCGACAGTATCTTTCAGGGCGCAGACATACGTGAAGCATGACCCATGATGCTTGGCGTCGCAGCCGCCCGTCTTCTCCAACTTGAGTCTGCCCATGGCGTTCCATTCAGCGAAGAGGGCTTGGCAGTCAAGTGGGTTCGGGCGAGGATTTGTGCCGACGGGCTAAAACGTCTTGTCAGCTTTGATGTGTCAGGGCAACAGGCCAGCATGGCGTGAGAGGTTGAAAGGCCGGTACCATAGGCTGATAGTTTTCCAAGTGAAAAAAACTGTTTCACGGGCCTATGGAAAGGCGTACCAATAGTAGAGGAGCAAGGAGAGGACAAACTTACGTCGAAGCATTGCCAATTGGTGCCAACGCCCGGGATCATCTTGGAAGTCATGGACTTTCCATTGTTGGTTCGTACCTCGGAGTGAGGACGCTTTGGAAGGATGGCCGGGGTCTTGCCATGGCCGGTTTGCCGAGACTTGGTGCCGATGGGACTGGCGGCGGCGAGGGCTACCAACGAGAGGGTGGCAAGAGACAGAGTAGGGCAAACCATCTCGACGGGTAGCTGGGTTGTCTGCTGGTGTAGACGTGTGTCAAGGACGCGTTACTGATAAGTAATGCAGTGAGAATGTGTGTTGGTTCCAAAAAAAAAAAGAGGGCGAAGTGTGGATGTTGATGGGAGATGAAGAATGGAAAACAGCAGAGGTTGACCGTATGGGTTGTGGGGGGGGTTATATACGAGAGCAGGAGGGTGGACGAGGAGACGGATCACTCGACAGATCAACTGCCTCTCTCGAAGAGAGAAGGAAGCTGCTGTGAGCCAAACCGATAGATGCTCATGGAAACCGACCGACCGACGCTTCGTTCATGGAAGGAAGTGAACCACGGGTCTTGCCATGGCAGGTATGGCAGGCAAGGAAATCATCGGGAAAGAACCATCTCGGCAAGCTGCAGAGAGGTCTTTGGCTTCCTCGGTCCTGCCTTGGTAACGCCAACTTCCTCGTGGCAACGTATCATGTCACGTCAAGCGATTTTGGGGCGACACGGCAGTAGCGGTAGGTAGGGCTATTGCCACATGGTAGATGACACCGATCCAGAGCACATCCTCGAACAACCTCGAGTAGACTTTTTTTTTTGTTCTTTCCCGTGCCAGAATATCTGACTGTTCATGTACTGTGACACCAGGTACGCGTGCAACCGCACCGCTACTGGCTCAGCTGAGGATAATTACACTACAGCAGTCAGTCGCGTGTCTCCCATGTGCCTACTCTACTCTTGGTAGCTACCATTGTATTCAAAACAGCTGCCTCGGTCACCATCTTTGTTCCCTCAATGTCTCAACTGCAAGGGAAACAATAGCCTATCTGAACAATCGTCTTCTCCCCTTCCTACTCAAGAAGCATTCGGGGTCTCCCATCGTCCTCGACGTCCTCGACCCTGCCGAATAGGTGCCCTGGAGTTCCCATTCGTATCTGGCCTAGAGCGTGTACCTTCTCTTCTTCTGTTCTAATCAGGTCATATTCACTACCTAGTTGTTATCATGAAAAAGAAATGGCCAATTGATCTCTTTGGGTCTTCCAATGGAACTCATCGTATGAGCACTTGGCCTTGGGGCAGTCACATTGCTGCTGCCGCTGCCGCCGCCAGCGAGGCGGATCTCCATGAATACCAAACCATTGTCTTCGACCCCCGACATCTGGCATCAGGAACATCTGGCATCAGGAGGTCGGCCATGGTCACGTCGAGCGAGCTCGTTGTGACAATCTCTCCTCACGGAACAATCTGTGTTCGTTGGTTGATGACAGCTCATCTTGGGTAAGTGGCTGAACGAAAATCCCTCTCAAGCCGCGTTGACTACGAGACAAAGGGCTTGTTTGTTGCTTTCACGAGGACCAAGATGTGAATGTGACACAGCAGTGACGGCCGCTTACTAGTCACTAACCAATCCTAGTCACTGTTGCGGCTCCCAGGGCATTGAATTTGATCTTACGGAAGTAATCCTCATTTGATGGCGCAAAGAAGAAGAAAAACTACAGAAAACGGAAGGGTATGTACCTCGTCTCCAAGAAGCCGTGGGCTTGGGGAAATAGACGACAACCTCTGTTCTATACACGCTCTTGGCTTTCGGGTAGAAGGTACTGAGCCATAACAACGTAGTCGAGTCTGATGAGGCTGGACCTGCTATGTTATTGTTTCTTAGTACGGCAACGCCTGTCTTTCATATCTCGAATGGTGCATAGAAAAGCCCGAGTGCACATACTAAAGCCACCGGACAATAGACCATGCGGTACGATACATGAGAATGATGACACACTTGGCCTTTTTGAACCCTCCGAATTACTTGACAGACTGTGTTGCGCGAGATCATTCCTGAACAGAAACCACATCTTGATTCTTAGTTCCGCGATATAAGCGACGTCCAAACATACACCAAAAGCATATATCCTGGAATATATCGATCCACTACCCCTTATTCCCCAAATCAAACCTTCCCCCCCCCCCCCCCCCTCCCGTCCATCTCTAACAAAATCATCTGCATCACCTTCTCATCCTCTTCAGCCAGCCGCCGAATCTCCTTCCGAACTTGAAATGCCGCTCCAACCCCACAAGCAGCAAGAATGACGACAGCGGAGACCACGGCGGCGACGACCAAGAGAGGGTCCATGACTCCGTCGCTCTCCCGGTCACGTCGCTGCCCGCGGCCTGGGTATCGACGGCGGGGCCCGTGCTGGTATATTCGCGCGCTCCTCCTCCCGTCTCGGCGCTCCGCTTCGCCGTGCTCGAAACCCGCTCCTCGATGGTCCTCGTCCGGCTGAGGGTGACGTGCCCGTCGGATCGCGGCGGGGTCGAGTCAGGACACATTGACGGGCCCGTCAAGCGCTTCGGAGGGGGGGGGGCTGTGTGCCAAGAAGCGCGATGTTGAAGCAAACCTAAAACGGATGGTGATGATGGCGATCGGTGATGATGGAACCCGGCCTTCCTCTCGAGGTGCTCTGCGTTTTTGTATATCCCGGGTGTATGTATGTATCGTTACAGTTGGAGACTTGCTCTTCATCTAGTCATCGAGCCCGCGTAGTCATATATATGCCCCCTAGCAAACAAAGCAGCCCCTCGCCCCCGAACAAGGCCGCGGGCACGACACAACGTCCACAAAGGAGAACGAAACTCGCCCTCTCTCGTCCTCTCTCGTCCTCTCTCACCCTCTCCTCGACCGTCCCTTCCATCTCCTTCCATCAAGGCCTCGGTCTCTTCACACACAACCAACCTGTTCTCCCGGGTCATTCTGTAACAAGCCCCCGGCCCTTCCACGGCAGGTACGCGACGCGAGCAACCTCGTCTCCGCGTCTGTTTACCTTGTTCATCTGGTCAACCTCTTATTCTTACTTCCCTTTTCTTCTCCTTTTGCTCTTACACAGAGGTTGTTTGAGTCTGCCCGACTTTTTCCCTTTAGGGCCTCAACCAAACAAGGCCCAATATCCACGCGCCTTCCCTCCTCGGCCGCCGCCCCGCCCCCCCCCCCCCCCAACTTACACGCAAAAGCCATTGTTTACCTTACTCACCTCTACACACTTGTGCCTTGCGTTCACTCAAGGTGTAAAGATTAACCTGTTCTCATCGGTTCTAACTTAAGACCTGTAAACAGAGCGAGATATATAGCACGTCAGGGCCCAGACCTTTTTGAGACGAGGGCTGCGTTCTTTCTCCTTTTGCACTTGCAAACAAGACGACAACAACGACAACAACAAAACTCACCCTGTCGCCCCCCATTAGTATGTGGACAATTCCTCGCCAGCCTTCACTCAGTCTTATCCAGAATACTGACAATCTCACTCTCACAGGTTCTCAAGTGAAAGATCTTGCGCTGTTGGCATTGAATATCAACAGTTAGTTACCTGACTTTTGTCTTGTACTCAGCAACTGGCTATAACTTGCACACTGCGACTTGCCTCACTCACAATACGACCTACGTCAATGACAGCAACAATTCAACAACTTGAGACTCGCACCTAACCCCATCACGCTCATGCGGCACTCAAGATCGCTCTCAGCACAAGCAACAGCCTCCCTCTCACCCGCCAGGATGGCTGCCGCTCTGAGATTCACCTACCTTCCCATCATCCCCTCCCCATCCCCAACCCCAACCTTCACGATCCTCACCCACACCTCCATCGTCCTCACCGCTGACCGGGTCCCTTCGATGACAACCGTCGTCGGCCTGGGCCCGAGAGCGGTCTCCTACACCACAGTCTACGTCACCCCGACCACCTCGACCACCTTGGCCCCTGAGGTGCCTGAGCACCGAGACCCCGTCTACGGCGACCTCACCTGGTCCTACGTCGTCCTCCTCTGCGTTCCCTTTGTCGTCCTCGCCGTCGCCCTGTACAGCAACTACCGCGACCGCCATCGCCGCGTCTTCGACCAAGACATTGAGATGCAGTCCTTCCAGAAGTTCTGGTTCCCCTGGCGCGAGCTCGATCCGGGCGAGGTACCCAACGAGGTAAGCAGACCCGCCGCCGCCGCCGCCGCCCAAGGCCTCAGCCGGAAGGAACGCAGATACGCGTGGCACCCTTCCGACGACGACCCCATGCCCCCCGTGACTATCTACAGCGACCCACCCTCCTGGGGCCGCCGCCACTCGTGGTGGGAAGTTGCGGCCTATCATCCGGCCTGCCCGACCCCCCTGACGTCCCAACGCAGAAGACAAGCAGCCGTCGCTGACTACTCCGACAAACAGATCTACGGCCGAACCGGATCCCGCCGCAACGCTGACCCAGAGGAGCTCGCCAAAGACGGCGACGAGACCGCCAGCGACAACGACTCCGTCACCGCAACGACCGGCCGGGCCTCTCCAAACATCGGCCCCTGGAGCAGCAGTGTCCGCGGCGGCGGCAACGCCGAGTCCGCCAGCCCGAACCCCTGGGCCGCCCACATCCCCTCGTACTACGGCAACCTCCCCCTCCCCGTGTCCCCCGTCTCCAAGCGCTCTCCCTCTCAGGGCACCGGCGCCGCCGGTGCTGGCTCGAGCAACGCGGGTGAGGCGCAGGTCCCGGCTGGGATCTCAACGACTGTCCAGCGCCGCGCCGACCGAAGCCGCAGCCGCTTCGACCTCTCCTCCGAGGACGAGGCCGGTGGTCAGCCTGCCGAGCCGCAGCACTCCTACTATGCCGACCCCAGCACCCGAGCCGGCAAACAGCCCGTCAAGCCCTAGAACAGCGACGACAGGCGAGACCGGGTCGATGGCCCGGACGTGGAGGTATCGGCAGCTGGAGCTTCCGGTACCTCTACCGCCGCCGCCACCAAGTCCGGATCGAAAGCCAGAGCTGGGGCTGAGGCCAGATCTGGAGTCAGCTTCGGAGGGAAAGTCAAATCCGGAGGTGGTACTGAATCATCACGCTACGCCTCCTCATCGCCCTCCCCCGCTCGGCGCCCGATGGCCAATAGCCCCTCCTCTTCCGGGGCATCCCAGCAACCCGCCACTTCGGCAACGGAGATCAGGCGTCAGCGCCATCGCAGATCATCGCCCAACGAGTGGCCCCGTGTCTGCTCCGGCTGTGGCCAGGTAGGGTAGGTCCGTTCGCCATCAGCGCCAAGGTACGGTAGAGTGGTGTGTGGAACGCGTGCGAGAGGAAGCAAGGTTCGGGAAGCGTGCGGTGGGGGGGGAGATGAACAGGGCTGCCCGCGAGTTGGGCTTTGATCGCTTTGCAAGAACTCTCTGGACGAAAAGCGACGGCCCCTGCGGCCCGCTAGGCGACTTGGCTTTCTACGTCAGAATGCTGGAGTTCGTCGTCGATATACGCATCAGGATCGACGACGATGCCACCCTTTTGGCTGAGACAGGTAACATACATCCCCTCTGCCTATCCTAGCATGACACGCCTTTCTAACATGTGCGTGTGGCTTCATTGTAGTTTAGTTCCCTCTTGGATCTTGGATGAGATGGAGGGGCGGCTAAAGTTTGTTTGTGTGTAGAGCGAGGATACTAGTAAGCTCTTGTGGGGATAGATCGGGGTTCGGCACGTATCTGTGGCTTTTTCTTTTCTTTTTTCCTTTCACAATGGTCACGGCATGAATGTGATCGCCGAGGTGGACCAGCTTTTATATGTCAGCTCGTCATCTTGTGATGGGGGGGAGAAGGGGTCTACCCTAACAAACGTGCGGAGTTTCATCTCATCACTTTAGCCAAAATGTCAATGGGAAGGGTGACTATGTCTTGACATTCAAGATCGAGTGAGAAAGATGTGTGTAAGCGGAAAGAAATAATGAGGGATGAGCCGCCAGCCAGAGCGCTTCTTGACTGCGGTGTCCCTGTGAACTCTTTGATTCCCTTGCCAAATACCCAAATGCATGGAGTGGCCGTCTAACAAAAGGCGAACAGTAATATCCCTTCCAGTACACCATTTCCCTCACAATTCGCAAGTGGTGACGCAACTACACACCTTTCCCCCCAAGACTGTAAACTTGCCCCAAAACCTTTGTACCTCAAAGTGGTGGTGCTGTTCTCCCAATGAAGAATCGACATGTAGAATCCCTGCTCTTGCGGCATACGCAGAGGCTGAACCGGTACTCCGTGGCTCGTAACCCTAATGCCCTCGCGCATATTATGGCACAGGGAAAACCCCTCTCGGCAGGGTACTGAATCGCAAAAGTGCCACTGCTTGCTCGCTGGTAATTGATTGCCCATGCATTGACTCCAAAAAACGCCTGGTCGTAATTATGGTGGCCCATTTTCCCTGTGATTGATGACACGGACCGACAAAAAAGAGAATGAGGCTGAAAACCACCCGATGTGGCCTTTTGGGTGATCGTAAGACAAAGTCGTTGCATATAATACAAGCTGAAGGGAATAGCGGCTCAAATGTACGGTATCGAAAGTAGTGGTGGCGGTGGGGCCGGCGGCGGCGGCAGTGGTGTTGGCGGCGGGCGAATGCCTTGGTGAGCTCTTTATATATGCATCGGCAGAACGGTGAGATATATCTCTGGCAGACCTCTGTGGAGAAGTGATGCGAAAGGTGTTTCCCTCAGTGGTTCTTCTCAGAATCGCCCCAGATAGGTGCGCCCAGAGGCTTGCTGACGCCGAATCCCACGCCAACACCGATACCAATAATAAGAAGGCCGATTGCGACCTTCATGATGATGCGGTTCTTCTTGCTCATGCGCGCCATGCAGGCGCAGGAGCCACGGTCACGCTTCGCAGCCTTTGCCTTGGCCTTCCAATCCTGCTTGCCCGGCCATATCGTTGGGCAGTCCTTTGTAGTTGTGATGCTCTTCATGGCGTAAGGGTCGGTGGATGACGTCGTGGTGATCATGGCCTCAATATCCGTATCAAAGGGGTTCTCGTTCCGGTACGACCGCGGTGTAGAGAGATTGCTGTCACGGGGCATCTCCAAGCTCTTCTCGGGAGTCGAGGCGATGGGAGTCAGATTGCCGGAGGTGACGCCATCGGAGAGTTTTGCGTACGCTGCCTTCTCGGGAAGGGCGACGCTAGTGACATGGTGGTGGACAGCCACCTTTTCCTGCGGGACGGCCATGGGTGCGGAGGATATGTGTTTGGCGAGACTAGCTAGGCGGGTTAACAATATGTGCGGTCACAGTATTGTATCGAGTCAAAAGAGCTCGGTGTCCCGAGGTGTATGACCCAAGAAATGGAGAGAACAAGCGGTTGCCCGAGTCTATCAAGGAAAAGACGGGTTAGTCAGGACATGACGAGGTTGAGAAGTATGAATGGGCCAGAGAGGCTGGGAGAAGGAGGCAAGGCAGGGTAAGAATTGGGATCAACAGGATCCATCCAACCGACGGGAAGAATTGGGGTGACGTACATCAAAAGGTACCCCCAAGAGGCAGTCTGGTACGGAAGGAATGAAGAATGACAGCGTCGGCCGACAGGGGAGTAGTTTTGGTGATGGAGCAGTAACCTGATATCAAGCCGCTCGAAAGGTACCGGCCAGCAGGTGAAGGGGCTGTGCAAGTATCGAGTCGAATTGTCTTTTGCAGCGGCAGGCGGGTGTTGGAATCGAAGTCTTCGGGGCAGGGAGGGTCGGTATGGTGATGTCAACCCGGCAATGGAATGGTGGTTGGCGGCAAGTTGTAGGAAGCGAGACACGAGGCGAGGAAAGGGAGAGATGGAGAGAGGCGAGTAGAGGGAGGAGGGGAGCGAGGTAGAAGAAGGGTCCTCAGAAGCAGGAGCAGCTAAGTATCTGTCGGAATCTCGTCCCAACCTTGTGGTGGAAGTGGAGAGGAGGATGTTTTAGCCTAGAGAAGGACGCGAGAGAGGGAGAGAGAGGAAGCAGCGAAGACGGGACGAGGATGGCGAATTGAACGACGTTGAAACCAGAAAGTGTCGGCCTGTTTGACAGCAGGGCTTTTGGCTCGACCTTGGGAGGCTTGGCGGACTTGTTGCAAAGCTGAACCCTCGAAGGAAAGACACGGCCGGAGAGAAGTGGACTGAGAGGAGAGAGAGCGTGCAGGCACTGGGGTGTCACGATGGTTTTATTAGACCAGGCAAAGCGATTGCGCGTATGGGTTTTGGCAGAGAGAGAGAGAGACAGATGGGAGACATGCACGGGATGGAGGAGAGCAGAACGAGTGTGGTGTGGTGTGAGAGGGCGATTTGATGAGTGACAGACATGGGATGGGCGAGATTGTGGATGTGCATCGCTCAGGGAACACCTGGTACGTATCGGTACGTACCTCTCGGTTTCCTGCTGCGTACGGAGCACCTACCGTAGGTAGCTATCATTCTAGGTAGTGTACCTACCCAGGGGAGGGAGGTTATCAACCTAGTGTACTCCGTACTAGTGTAGTAGTAGTCACAATAATGGGGTACGTACCGCCTGCACTTGGCAGATGGGCCGACGAGAGAGACCAGAGAGGTCTGGGACCTCGCCCGGGGAGAGTGCCAGGCGACTGGGGGGGCAGGGAGTCCATGTGGGGAGTTACTGGGGGGGTGGGAAGAGTTGAATGGAGCCAAGATTGTACGGTACAGCCTTGGCGGCCGGGGTTCTCTCTCCTCTCTTGAGATACGACTGTACCAGTGTACATTACAAGTAGTTTTCCGCCTCTTCTCCCGTCTTTCCACTGCCCCTCGTTTTCTTTGCGCGCGCGTGTGTGTCGTAAGGTCTGTATCTTCATTTCTCTCTTTCTCTCCCCTCAATACGTACCTTCGTTAGGTCCCACCAGCCAAACGAGTGCTGTGGCTCCCGGTTTAACTGCGACACAAACCCCAACACAACACCAGCAGCAACCAGGCAGACAGGTAGACAGACAGGCAGACCGGATGTTGATGCTAAGTTCACATCTACTGTAGGTACTGTTTCCAGTGCAGGGCCCAAGGCTGGAGCTCGGGACACTTGGGGTTTAGGGCTAGGCGGCGGCAGCGGCGAATGCGTCCGGAAGCCGCACGCACTGATGTCCAACGCCGATGCCATACTTCCAGGCCGCGTGTGTTTCTACTCTTCTTCCCTTTAGCGTTTCGCTTCTTCACCTTGTTCGTTTTCGTTTTCTTTACGTCATCTTTTTTTTTTTCGTTCTCCCCTTCCTGTGGTTTTCTTTCTTTCTCTTTGGTCGTCCAAGATACACACTGACGGTAGGTTTACATACCTACATGGTAATGATGTGTTCACCGATACTGCAAAGCCCGTAAATTGGACTGGGTAGAGTACGTACCACTATCATCTCTTTGTCGGTTCGGTAGGTGGAGGCGCATCCCCTTTTCCAGATGGATGGGCCCATGCCGTGTGGGCCAGCAGTGGTTTTCGAAGCCAGCCAGCTGGACAAGGGTCACGGGTGGTTTGTGGAATCGCTCGGGGGTCACAGTTTGTTTGAGGGCGGAAGAGTTCATTGTTGTAATCTTTGGTCGAGTCATCTCAGCGGCGCGAGGCCCTCCGTCCAGACCGCACGAGACCAGCCGCATCCCGCAGAGCGGTAGCATCAGCCAGCAACAGATCCCGTCGGCCGTAGACGGGATGAAAAGAAGGGAGCCAGCGGTTGACAAGTCTGACCGTCGCGCGACCATGGCACATGTCCGTGACAAAGGCAGCTAGACAGTAAGTAGGTAGTCTACCACCGGTATGTAAACTCTCCACGGGAGCCAGCATTGGAACTTGCCAGGCCAGGCTCCCCGCCATGCGCCGTCGCTAGCTAGTCCAAGGCTGAAAGAGGTTACCTGCAGCTGTGTGTTTGCGGGGGAACCACACTCTCTTACTCTCTTCGTTCAGCTCGTCGCCAGGTCGTCGAGGTAGGCCATACAGGTATCTAGGTGTGTTGTTGGGTGGACTGGAAGCAAACAATGGGTGAAACGAAGCCGCCTTCGGGCCATCGACTCGGTTCGGTGATGATGATTGTAGACAGACCAAAGCCGGTGCTAGGCTAGACCAGCAGCGAGCGAGCGACCTTGTCAGTCAAAGCATTGGGAGAAACGGCGCGGCAGCCGGGCTGGAAGAGGAGGACAAGTCGGACGGCGACCACGCAGTCGATGCCATGTTGGTTCTACGTCGCACAATTGCCTCCTTCCTTAAGCCCCTCCCCCTCCGCGAACTTCCTTCCTTTGCCTCATGCGGGGTTTTCTGCTCCTGCTCCTGCTCCTGCTCCTGCTCGAAATGGGGGGAGGACAGAGATAGGTAGATAGATAGATAGATAAATCGATAGCTCAAGGAGCAAGAACCTTCCGCATTCCACCTCCCACCTACCTACCTTCCCTCGCACCTGGAAAGAAGGTTGCAGTACGTACCTACCCTGGACTGGTTCGCGCTACAACAAACAGGAACCATCCTGGTCATGGTGCTGGTACTGACTGGTCCTGCCTTGCTTGGATGAGCAAGATTGTGTGTGGGTTCTGCGCTGCTGTTTTTGGCTCTGGCTTCCTTTCCTCTTTTTTTATGAAGACCACAAGCGGCAATCTCATCTCCATACACCTCCCCTCTTATTTTGATTGGTTCATCTCGTTCCTGGCTTGTGGGTGTCGACTGTCGAGCGGGTGGTAGGACTCATCTTGCTTTTCATGGTTAGTGCACATCTTTGCATAAGTACGTACCGCATGTCCATACCACCACACTCAATTCATCCTGCAGCAAGCAGGGGGTTCCATTCTCCAGCGAGCGAGCGAGCGAGCGCATCTCCATCCATTAATCAAGCTCCTCTCCCGCTCGGGCGCATTGGAAAGGTACGGGGATTTTGCTGCTACCTCTTCTTCACATGAATGTCTCCCTAAGCGTCCCTTCCTATTAGGCTTTTTCTTTTTTTACCCAGCCACTGCCGCCGACGCCGACGCCGCCTCGTCCCTTTGTTGCTGTCCTCGTCGTTGTCGTCGTCGTCAAGAAGCTTTCAGCAAAGCCACTCGAGTCTTGGTCCCGTCTCCTCCTGTCTAACTACACTACGCCAGCGCCAGTCACCAAACCAAAAGACGCCACCAAGCCAAGCCACCACCCGTGACGAAACACTGGAATTCTTATCGTTTCCGTCTTTTCCACGCCCATCGACGCATTACTGTTCTCGAATCCGCAATAGGCTGGCTGGTCTGGTGCTTGTTATCATTTTCTCACTCGACTCATCCCGAGATGAGGGAATGTCCACTGCCTTCTCCCGCTTCTGGCCTGGCCTGCAAGTGCAAGCTAGGCCCATCTATCGCCTACACTTACACCCCGGTCCTATCCAACATAATCTATACTCGTGCTAGCCAGTAAAAGAGGACCGGACCAAGTTGGCTCCCTCTCTTGCCTACCCTACTCAGTACGTCCTGGCACCTGGGCTGCAGCAAGTCGGGACCATTGATTGCATTCCGTCCCTGCGTATTGGGACATCTATCTTGATTATCATGCCTGCCGCCGGTCCTCTGGCACTCGTATTGTTGAGATGCACGCTCAGTTCCCCATTGGTTCTTTTCGGCCGTCCGGCCGAGTGCTAGTCCCCGTCCGTTCGTCGGCCTCTCCATGGCGGCATTTACCTACCTGTTTCCCCTCTACACAAACACCCTTCCATCCCCGGGCATCTTCAATCGCATATGCCCCGAAATTGAAATCATAACCGACAATGCTACCAATACGTTCCCCCGTTTCCATTTTTCAGGCCTGCGCTGCTCGCCGCCGCTTGCCAAAGGCCATTCGGAGAATCCCCTGTCGCTACACTGCGCTATACTAGGTACTAGGCAGTGTACCTAGCTTCCAGGGCCCTCACTCGTCTCCCATTCTATCCTCTTCCTCTCCCCCCTCGGTTTAGCGCGTTTCCCCTGTCTTGTTACTCACGGGACCCATTCTTGACTGTACCGCTCTCTAGCCCATCCCGGCCGCCTGTCTCGCTTACTGCGTCAACTATGGTCCTCCCGGAGAGACTCCTTCTCCCTGCGTCACGGCGGATACCACACACATTGTTTCTTTTACGCCATGATGGGGAGCGAGACAGAACAGATTACACCGTTGGCGGTCGGCCGTTGCGGTGCCGCTGTCTGTGTCGCATCTCAAATTTCGCATCCATTTCCAAATGAGCTGCTTGGAACCGAAGCATTACCGCTTTTTTTTTTCTTTTTCTCTCTCGCACT